AAAGGGATGTTTGTCATTTTGCAGGGTTGATTGGATTGAGAATATCCATTTTAGTCTTTGATTGAACAGTGCTTTTTGGTTGTATTAGTAGCAAGTCCATGATTGTACAGTGCTTCCATTATCTACAGTGGCCTTCCCACGAGCTTCCTATTTTGTCCATGGATGAACAGGGGAAGGTCACAAATCCTCCTCTATAAATATGATGATATTGGATAGAGGAGGGGATCCAATTTTTCTCTCACTAAAGTTCACTCTTGAGATAGAGTAAGAAATATAATTCGGACTGAGGAGATTTACCCGGTCTAGGTCATACTTTGTGTTCTTGTTGTGTGTTTTATATTACGGGTCGAGTGTGTCCAGGTCAAACCCGGTTAACCCACCCAGCTATATTTACACCATCATCTATCATGTTGGTGTTAACTTGAAGGCTAAAAGTATAATTTCACAATAATAATATACGGAGTATTTTTTTTATCATACACAATTCCAAAAGTTGTTCCGTTTCCGTCGTTTCTGAATTAAGGTCGCTTCCTACTACAACCATAGTCTACAAATTTGGTCTTTCGTCGGAATCCTAGTTCACAATCATAGTCATTATTTTTGTATTATCTGCTTAACCAATATCAAAACACGTCACTAGACATAATGTTGATGTCAAATTATACTCTTAACTTTTAAATTAATACCAGCATGACAGAAGATCAAAATAAGGACCATTAGTGGAAAGACACCCTTAAAAAAGAACCACATGGGTAATATTTGATAATAGATGACTAAATATGAAAACCGTTATGTTATAATGGACCAATTATGAAATTTACTCCATTAATTTTGACTAGGGTGTGTTCGGGTCGGACGGAGTGAGAGTTTACTGGGGGGTTAGAAAGGTTAGAAACCGTCAATTTTACGAATGAGACACTGTCGGGTATACTTTAAATATAATACGGAGTACCCTGTGTATTATTAAATTACTCCCTCTGTCTGTATTTTGATTACAAAATGGGAATTATGATATAAAATTCCATAATTTTTTAAATCATTTTATTTACAAATTGGTACATCAATAAGAAATAGAATTACAGTTTAAAAAATGAAGTTCAAAGTTCTATATAACAAGAGGTGATAAAATAAATTTATTTTATCAATAAATAATCAATGGATACATACAAATAGAAAAAAGTTATCGAGACGAGACAAAAAAATAAAAGTTTAATCAAAATGGGAACGGAGGAAGTATAAAAGTATACAAGTATGACAGAACCGTACATTTTTATGTTGTTCCACTAATATTTAATTTAAAATTGGGTGGGACGATTTTGGGACAAAAATGATATATCTCTAATAAAATGGTACAATTACAAAACAGTAATAGAACGTTCCAAGATGGGCTAACGAGAAAGGATTTCACGTCTACCCCTGTAATGAACTATTGCCTTCTTCTCGTTGTTTTGAATTTCCTTTTTTATCAATTGTAAATAAAATCATTTTTCAATGTTTATAATTTTTTTTGTATATATATTACAGAGTCATATTCACCACTTTCAACAACACACTTTTACGTTTCTTAATATCCGTGCCCAATCAATTGTACTCTCTTCATTCCAAATTTGATTACAAGTTAGGATTTACGATGAAAAAATTTCTCATCTTTACTTGCATTGTCGCACAAAATCCTTCTAATTTCAATTAAAAAAACCACTTTTGTCTCTATTAATTCTTAATCTACCTATCACACCATACATTTTTACTAATAATCTACACATCACATCAAAAGTATTTTTGAAAAGTAAATACAAAAATATGTATCCTTTAAATTTCTTAAAAATCAAAGTAGGTACATCTTTTTAGAATGAAGGAAATATATTTATACTTCAAAGCGTTTAATTAAAAAAAGAGAAAGTCTCGTTTGACATCAACATTAAAGTTTAGCATCAGCATTTTGAAAATACAATTTGATAGTAGTCTTTATTGTATTTATTGAAAAAAAAGGTCTCGTTTGACATCAACGTCAGATTTAATCTTTTTCATTAAAATTTTGTTCAAATACTAAGAACTTGTTTGGAAATAGCGTTACAGATTAGGGTTAGCATTTTGGATAAAATTATAACGGTACGAATTACTTAGAAAACGTTAACGCTGGACATAGATAGCGTTTTAAAAAGCTGAAGCTAATATCCAGGGACATTCCAAAAGGGGAGTAGTAAGACAAATCGAAAAGGATATTCCCAATCAAAGCTGAATTACTCTTGATTTTCTGTTTGAGGAAAACTGGAAAACCTAGTATGTTTCTCCGTCTTCTCGGTTGAGAATCCTCAGAAGACTGATTTTCCCACTTTAGCTGCCATCACAAAGACCGATTTTTCATCAGTTAATTCGCAGCCACAAAAGATCTACAGAGAGCAGCAGTAATGTCAAGGGGCGGGAATTACACAAACCCATGCCTCACTATGCATCAGCCATGGGCTTCCTTGCTCGTTCACGGCATCAAACGCATCGAAGGCAGGTCTTGGCCTTCCCCCATTACAGGTCCGTTTGATCTCTTCTCCCCCCTGTTTTCTCTCAATTTCCGATCAATTATTTGTGTTTTTTGAATTTAATTTGCAAAGATGAATTTGGGTTTTCTTTGGTGTTTTGGTATATTTATGCCATGTATACTGGTTTGTTCATGAAGGGCGATTATGGATTCATGCTGCCGGGAAGGTGCCCGAACCAGAGACAATCAAAACAATGGAGGAGTTTTATAGGGAGATATATGCAGTTCATGGCATAACCAATCTCCAGTTTCCAGAGCATTATCCTGTCTCAAGACTTCTAGGTACCTTATTCGCCATTGTAATTAAGTACTCCGGGGTGATTTATCTTTCTAAGGTCCCGTTTGGTACATGGAATTCAAACTATGGAATTTGAATTGGAGACTTCAATTCCAATTCTGGTGTTTGGTAGCACAAAAATTATGTGGATTTGGAATTGATAGTGCAAAAAATGAATTGAAATTGACAGAATTCAATTCTATGGAATTGAATCCCATGGAATTTCAATTCCAATTCCACCGATTCCTTGTACCAAACGGACCCTAATTATGATTATGTGTATATCTTCCACAACTTCATCATTGTGCAGGCTGTGTTGAAGTAGTTGGATGTGTAACTCGCGAAGAACTCGTGAGCTGGGATGAGATTCCGGAAGGGGTGAGTTAATTAGTTTATTAATCGCGTTTTGTTGCGTTGCAATTATTTGTATCTTGTGAATTCATGTCACAATTTGTATCAACAGGTGAGACTCGAAGGACAGACTGATTTTTGCTGGCTTTGTGAGAAGCCGCAGGTTTAAAAACTCCTTGTGAATTTTATGTTGTGTTTGGTAATTGTACACCCAATTAAAAATTGATTTGATGATTGTTGCAGAAACTTGTTATTCCATTCGAAATGCGGGGGCGTCAAGGTGTTTATAACTTGGAAAGGAAGGTATGTACTACGGACCAATTTCACATTGTTAGGGACTTTATACTCTGCTTCTTTGCTATTTTTTTAATCATCGAAGAGGTGCAAGATTCTTGAGTCGTGGAAAGACGGGGGTAGAGGTAGGCCTAGGAAGAGTTGTTGATTCAATATGACTTATGACTTTTGGGTCTTACCAAATATATGGCCTTAGATAGGAATAGCTAGAGGTCTAGGTTCAAGGTGGCTCAATATACCTTTGGGCCTTATAACGGATGAACCCCATCCCTAAGCCCCCCCCACCCCATCCCTAAGCCCCTCCCCCCCCACGGCCCCACCCAGAACCGGCGTGACAGTCCCCTGATAGGAGGTAAATTGAGCTATAATCATAGTCTGGCAAGCAGTAGAAATCCGCCCTTAGTTTGTACCTTTAGGCCTTGGAGCTCTGTTTTGTGACTTAATCTGTAGCTTCTGCATGTGTGCTTCTTTGGTTAGTGCTCTTATTTTGTTTGTGCCACTTTCATTTGATGTTAGGGGGGTCTGTTGAAAACAACTTTCTCTTCTATCCAAATTTCCATGCCTACCATTGAATACTAACAAAAAAAGATGCTCACTATACTTTTGAATATTCCACATTTGAATCAGGTGTATGAGGCTGCAGTTAGAGGTCTAACTCCGGTCACATCTCCGCTTCCGGTAGAGTTCCCCCTTCGGGACCCATCTTCCCTGAAACCGAAATCCCACGGTGCTTCTTCTTCCTCCAACAATCCCCCTATTTCATCCGACCCAAACAGGTCCCAAAGTCTAGTTGCAGCAATTGCAGGTGCCCGGGCAGCTGCAACGCAGTTCTCAAAGAGCAACGGGTTGCAGAGGCCATCAAAGAATAACAATGATTTCCCAAGCATCAGAGAGTGGAGACCGGTCTCATCCGGGACAAGGAATAAGTCCAAAGAGCTTATGTAAGGTATACTCTCTACGTCCGGATTTAGTTGTACACGGGCATTTTTTTTACTTTGTGTGTTTTAACTATTAAATGTAGCAGCATTACTACATTTTATATGGGTTTTATTAACTTGTTTTGTAAATTTTTTGATGTTTTGCTAGTTAATGCTTAGTGAGTGATTTTCTTTTAGTTTTTTTACAGACTTATACGACAAAGTATTGTAAAGAACATGTATTGTACTATTTAAAAATGTTCAAATTAATATACTTCGTGATCCTTAATATTGTACTATTAATTTTGTTCTTTTTTGTTCATTTTGATCCTTTTTGTTTACTTTTGCACTTGCCTTCTGTTGTGATCTTTTAGTGATGGTGTGTAATTTTAGTTTGAGTAAATTCCATAATGGGTCCTTTATAATTGAGGGTTTCCCTATTTAGTTATCTATTATTAAATATTATCCCACTGGTCCTTCTTTTATATGTATCGTTCCACAAATAATCCTTTTTTGATCTTCTATCATGTTGGTGTTTGTTTGAGGGCTAAACATGTAATTTCACAATGATAATATGTATTTCTTGTCATATACAATTCCAAAGGCCGCTTCAGAGGCATTGTTTATAATTACAGTCACTTTCTACTACAATCATAGTCTACAAATGTGGTCTTTCGTCTGAAACCTAACTCAAAGTCATAGTCATTATTTTTGTGTTATTCGTCTAACCAATATTAGAATACGTCATTGGACATAAAGTTGATGCCAAATTATACTTTTAGTCTTTAAACAATCACGAACATGACAGAAGATTAAAAAAGGACCATTTGTGGAAAGGCACCCAAAAAAGAAGGACTACAAGAGTAATATTTGATAATAACAGACAAAATATGGAAATTCTTCTGTTATAAATGACCAATTATGAAATTTACTCTTTTAGTTTAGATGGGATTGAAATATTCTTATGGCATGTTGGATTATTATTGTTTAATTTTTATTTATTTATTTTATGAAAAATTTCAAAGATAAAACTATTTATTGTATGGTGAATAAATAGAAATCACCCTAAAACATAGAGAAAAGTACCAAAAAAAGACTTTTATGTTTTTTTTCTAAAATATGACTTCACAATGAGGTAATGTGGTTGTAATGTGGCATTGTACATGTGCACATTGATATACTTTTTGGTAATGTACATGACCATATTTGATAATGTAAATGTATTTCAAGTCCTATTTCAAGAATAAAAACATGAAAGTCATATTTTGGTATATTTTTAATGTTTTATTCCTACTTTAATCTTTCTCCCGTGAATAAATTGTAGATTATGTAAAGACTAAAGAGCATGAATCAAGCAAAAATATTTCTTTATTTTGCTTATATAGATATTCTATTTAAAATCACTCATTTATTATACTTTTTTAAGTAATGAAAGTTCAGATTTTGTACTTTTAATAAATTTTAATTATATATTCTTTACTTTTAATATTTTGTGTAGATTTTATGAAAGTTCAAATACTCTTTAGAACATTCACAATGGGGAGGCAATGACTTGCAAAAATACTCTTTAGAGCATTTATTGACTAGAGGTAGGAATGACTCTCCCTTTTTTATTTTTATTTTTTTTATTTTGAAAAATAAAAATCATTTTTATTAAAAAAAGTAGACATATTTTATGATAAAACTTATGTGCAAATTACTTTTTAATAATTATAATATATCAAAAGTGTATAAAGTGAAAAAACAATTACTAATCGCAACATTGTATGTTGAAAAATGCTAAGGGTACACCAAATGTGTACCCCATTTGTCCCACACCCCCTGCTTGTCCACAAAAAAAGACAAGAAATTCAAAAAAATAAATAAAAATAAATAAATAAATAAATAGAATATCTAGCATTGCTCTTGTATGTTAGTTCACTCATTTATGAGTTGTGACACGTTGACCATAGATTTTTTGATTAGTTAAAAAATTATACTCCCTCCGTTCCATAAAGATGAGTACATTTTGACTAAAGTAGAAATTAAGAGAGGGATAATTTTGTGTTGACTTTCCAAAAATACTCTTGATGTGATGGGTAAAAGTATGATGTAATATGTAAATTATTAGAAGAAAAGTATGATGTGATAGGTAGGGTTTGAAAAAGTAAAGGGTAAAAGTGAGTTTTTAATAGAAATGAGTAAGAGATTGTGAGACGCAATTTTTTTGAAACGTATAAATCTTTTTGGGACGGGGGGAGTATATTACTGTGTGACATTTTATTTTTGTTTGATCATTAGTGATGCTTTTAATAAAAACATAGGAACGAAAGAATTAAGTCGAAATGAATATTTGTGTGACAATATTGACCAAAAAGAGTAAGTATTACACGCAACTTGATTACAAAATTAGAACCTTCCATGAAATTCTAATATTCAATAATCAAATTAAACTACGTAGTTTGATTTAGAGAACAATAATTATATGCTTTGCATAATTATTCTTTTTTTACCATTATTAAGATTTATATTCAAATTAATCGCAATAGCACTATCTTCTCAACCAGCTAAATTAGAGGTTCAGATGCCAAATCCAAGGTGACCTCATTTAAAAGGAAAGCATTGTGTAGTGAAAAGTTACCAAGTATTGGTTCATTCGTCATTTGTGTGGAAGAAAAGTTTCACCAACAATATCGAGTAAATTTTAGATTGTTTCACGTAAATGTGGAGTAATTCTTATTTGAGTGTCACGAGGAAGAAGGATTCTTAGTGCGAAAATGATATTTGCACTATTTTTTTATTATTGGCATTTCAAAACATAATATTAATGTGAGGGAAATGAATAAAATAATTTTGATACTCAATTGCAAAAAATTGAGTGTAAATATCATTTCTCTTCTTTGAAGATCTATAATGAAATCTCTCCAAGCAAGAACCAACCTCTCACTTAAATTATTAGCTTGATTTTTTAGAATTTCTCCACAATATTTATATATCACAAGTTCATAAATTTCACATACACAACATACTCTGTATCTTAGAACAATATTTCCGAAGTAATTTAAAAATATTAAGGTCATATTATTTTAGAACTATATTTCCGAAACTATTTGCATTGGAGGCAAATGAAGCATCATAAGGTAAAGTGATCCTAAGAAATTTACTCAATCTTTTTTTCTTTTTAAAGAAAAAAAGAATATGGCCAAAACTTTTTAATATTTTTCAGGGAAGTTGTTTTTCTTCAAATCTTTTCAAATTTTAACTACAAAAGTAATTACATACCCCTCAGGTTCTAAAAATCTTTCCCATTTTGACTTTTTTAATCCAACAGTGACACTATTTGACCACGAATTAAACGTAATCTGAATCACTAAATGATACAAAATTTGATATATGAAAATTCTGAATTTATACTATAACTAGATATACTTTTTTTTATAATTTATTATAAAAAATTATCAATATTTGACTAAAAAGAATCAAAAGAGAGAAGGTTTTTAGAAATACTTCATACCATTTTAACTTTTAGGGATCATCCAATAACAAAAATTATTGGATTAAGGGCATGAAATCATCATCTCATTAAGTTGATGAAATCATCAAAAGTTGTTCCAAGTAATCAGAGCCCAAATCTTCAAACACAACCACATCTTCGGTTTTACTGTTCCTCCTCCTCTTCCTCATCGAGTGTTTCCTCTTGAGCGCCACCACCGGCGAGCACCCCTCCTCCGTCTGCCACCTCATCTCCTCCAGGGATTGCCGGACCCTCTCCACCGGGAAGTTCAGCGTCGCCGCCGCCCCGCGCATGGCAAAAGCCGCTTGGTCATACGCCAGCGCAGCCGCCTCTGCACTGTCGAACGTCCCGAGCCAGACCCGAGCCCCGTTCCGGGTCGAGTCCCTTATCTCCGCCGCGAATTTCCCCCACGGCCGCCGCCGGACCCCGCGGAACGACCGCGGGGCCGTTTCATTCTCCGGGGAGTTGGAGTCGTCTTGATCCGCTGCGGCCTGCTCTGCTAGCACCCCCAAGAGTAACATTTGGTCGGAGTCGTTGAGGTCGAAGGGCAGGGACTTCTCGGAGCTCCGGGAATCCCACGACGGCGGAGATTCCGGCGTGAAGGAAGAAGGCGTCCCAGAATCCATTTCTTCTTAGAGCGAGTGCTCTGTATTTTCTTGATTTTTCCTTTATGGGAATTTGCGTGTTTTAAGAGAAAAAAAAGGTGTCGAAATGATACGGGGGAGAAGAACTTATATTGACCGGACCTAATTTATACCATGGACAACAATTGAGAAAAAAAATCATGCATCAATGCTAGCAAGAGTGGCACTAACATCATTATAATTCTACATTAATTTAATTACAATTAGCTCGAGATCTGCAGGTGATGTCTAGTCTCAAGGACTCCTCACGAGTACCGAGTGATGGTCGAATGACATATATCCTGATTCGTGGTAACGGCTGATTTTTACTTATTAGATGTTAGTGTGTCACTTTCGCATTGAAATTTAATTTGTCATTGACAACTTGCGTCGAAAGTCTTTCCGATAATGTGAGAGGCTGGGCGGCCTACCTCGCGAGGTTGTAGTGGTGGTGCAAAATAGTTCGAGGATCAAATGGGTAAACATTAGAGGAGAGGTCTAATACGAATCATGTTGAGAAAGGAAGAATTTCATGTGTTTTCAAACTTTAAGAAGAAGAGATCGCAATAAAGATGAAAAATTTTGAACATTTCTAAACTCCGAAGAAAGGAGAAAAAGAAGATTGAGAATATATTTCTTGTATTGATTGGTAACTATTTTTACATTCTATGTATATATGATATAGAAACCATAATCATATTAAAGGGTTGTTTGGCAACTTCTGAATAGGTAAGTGCTGAACCAGTAAGAGGTCTGAACCATTAAGTGCTGAACCAGTAAGAGGTCTGAACCATTAAGAGCTAGTATATTGCTTAACTATTCAGAGTCAAATGTCTGATCAATTCAGATAAGAGGTCTTAACCATTCAGACTCTGTATAATACTTAACCATTCAGAGGCAAATCTCTTAACCATTCAGACATCTGAACCATTAAGAGGCTGAAACAAACAGTCTGAACCATTAAGTGCTGAACCATTCATACATCTGAACCATTAAGAGGATGAAACAAACAGCCCCTAAGACTATAAAATCTAATCACGTTAGTTCAATAAAACATCAAGATAAAAAAATCAAAAAGAAACTCACACTTGAAAAACTTATAATTTTGCTCACTTAATAAAAACTACGAAGTACTCCCTCCGTCCGGAAATATTCTTCCCATGTTGACTTGGCACGCTTATTAAACAATAGTTTTAAAAAATGACAAATTTCCAAAATTGTACATACTATAAACTTTTAAATATCTTTTTCTTATTAAAAAAGCAATAAAAAGTAGATTAGTGATAAAATATAAGTGTATCATTAAAATTTATCCTTAAAAAGTATACTAAAAAAGGAAATAGGAAGAATATTTTCAGATGAGCCAAAAAGGAAAGTGGGAAGAATATTTCCGGACGGAGGGAGTATATTGCAATAAACAAAACGAGATTTGATTGAAGTTATTTTCAATTCAATCTATTTAATTGAAGTGTAATATTAAAAAAAAGTATATTTTAAAAATTACATCAGAATCCCTATGAAACGTACAAGAGGTGACATGATTATATTATTTTATCAAATGACTAACTAAAATAGATTAAAAATGGTTAACATTTGATCAAATGAATAGAAATTGGAAGAAGAGTTTAAGATAGATGGAGTATATGATAAATGCTAATTACTAAATAATTAGATTTATTATATAAAATATTTTCGAAATATTATTCTATCTAATTAATATACAATATACGCAGTATATTTTATTTACTTATAAGGTTGAAAACGATTGAATGAAAAAAAGTCAAAACTAGTCAAATACTCTAGGACAGTGGTAGTATTTATATTTAATTATATTATTTGTATACAGAGTATTTTGTATGAGTATATTATAGATTACTTATACATGTTTAGTATTAAAATATGATAAACAGTCTAGATCTTCTATTTGAATTTATGAATTTGTGAGTTTATGTTAGTTCTTAAAAATAAATAGCTACTTGTCTTCTTGAATTGTGATTTTTTGTAAAAGAAAAATTTGTACTATTTTCGAATTTGAATACAAATTCAAAAAATTAGCGAATATGAGCTTGAATCCAATACAAATCTTTTTTGAAAATCAAATTGTTAACGAATTCAAATTCAAATACATACTATCCCAAACGATTATGAATAGAATAAATGAAAATTTGATTCGATTCAATTCGATTCGTGTACATCCTATATGGAGCTACAAATACTCTGTATAACGTTGTGTTTCGTTCGTCTGATTTAATTTTTGAATATCTATACTGATCTGATTCTTATTACAATTAAAATTGTTTCTAATCTAATTTTACATGATATTTCTGATCTAATCTGAATATAATAAAAATAAATACTCCGTAATAAATAGATAAATTATTGAACGAACTTTCCCTAAGTTTCGTTAAACCCGACCAAATATTATCATGGGACCCATAAACAATCGTAATTCTGCACGTGGGTCAACAAGGAGACGCGGCCAGGTCAGGCTGATTAACAATGAAATTATTGAAATGACACCCAGAGAGTATTTCCTACAGAGATTATTTGGATTTATATTATCTTCATCCAATCAAATTAGGAGTAATTGAATTACAAATTACGAGTTACAAGATAAAATCTTGTATTTTTCAAAATTATTTTATTTATAAATTTTTATATTAATAATAAATAAAGATTACTCTGTACATATTAAAAATGTACGTCAAAAATTCTACAAAACGAGTAATGGCAAGAACATTTTATTTTATCAAATATTCAATAAATAACACACAGATAAACAAACATTGTCGAGAGAAGAAAGAAAAAAAGATTGTAATCTATTTCGGGACAGAGGGAGTGTTATTTTTTAATCGTGTGAATTAATTTTAAATGTTAAAATTAAATATTGTTATTAGACAATCTTTTTATATCGCTAAAATTAAAGCATTTTTTAATAAAATTTGTTTAGACGTACCATAGAAGAATTTTATGAGACATCTAAAAGTGTAAGTAGAATATGTAAGAAATATTTTTTAGAACACTTAAAAACAGAACAAGTAATTTTTTTTGGGACTAAGATGGTATCATTCTTGTACCAAAAATCTGTATATCCCGGCTAAAGTGAAAGTATTGTTTCCTTCATCCTTAATTAATAAATTTCATTTTTAGATTTATGATGTTTGATGAAGCTATTTGTAATTCACTTTGGTTGAATATTGATATAAAATAAAATGTATTCATATTGAGTCATTCTTATTAGAACTGGACCCTATAATAAAGTACAAAACTTATTTTTACTATTAACTCTACTATAAAACTATTTAAAATAAAAAAACTGCCTTAATTAGTCACTCGTAATAGAAACGAGATATTTTTATTACTCTTTGTGTCTCAATTTTAATTGTCTGTTTCGATTTACGATGTTTGGCGAAAGTTATATTCAAATCATTTTCTATAAAAAAACAGTATAAAACTAAATAATAAAAATTACATATTTAAAAGCTACATTATCAAACAGACCCTAAGTGCAATCAGTTAATCAATTCAACTCAATAACTTATAAGCCGGATATACTCTTTTCAATTTTTTAATGTAGGATATAGTCTAACATTTTCTTTTAAGTGGACAATCGGACCATTTTGAATCTAACCAATTGACCACTTATAAATGGATTCTCATTCCTGCTTGATCTGTTTTAGCATCAACACCTAAAGAAGCACGAGTTGTTGGATATGAGCTTCTAGACAGACACCTTGATATTATATGTTTTTATTCTTTGCAATTATTGGTCTTATTTTTTGTAAAGAAACATTTAAAAAGTATTAGTACTCATTTTGTTCGGATTTAAGCTTCAGATTTGACTTTTCTTCGATAAAGTGTATAAATTTTAACCTCGATTAACAAAAAATACATTATGTTTTGATATAAATGATCTATAATTTCTTTTTGAAATTTAGTTTTGGAATATTTAAATTTTATATAATATATCTATATATAAATATCAATATGAATGACTAAAGTGTTAAATTACATTGGAGACTGTGCAAGGTTAAACGAGACGATTAAATCGACAAAGAGGGTATATTTAACATGTTTTTAGTTCTAGTTTAATATTCTTTCCATCCAAATTTAAATCATATTTTACAGTTTACGATGTTTGACTGTGGTTATTTCAATGCAATTTATTGGGAAATTGTAGTGGAAATAAAAAATAAATTTTACATATTAAAAAACTATTAATACATCAAAATTAAACGCTATGAAATAAAATGTGACATTACTATATTATTTTACAACATGAAACTTGAAAATTGGAAAAAAAAGTAAATGAAATTTAATCATGTACTCCCTCCGTCCCAGAAAACCTTTCTCCTTTTTTTTCATCCGTCCCAAAAAACACTTCTCATTTCTATTAAAAAGTCACTTTTACCCCTTACTTTTCGATACCCTACCTATCTAATCATATTTTTTTACTAATAATCTATCTATCAAATCATACTTTTACCCATTACATCAAAAAACATTTTTAGAAATTCAAAACCAAAATACACTCCCGTTAAATCCATCTTCAAAATCAAAACTCTCATGTTTTCCGGGACGGAAGGAGTATAATAAACATGACACATGCGAAATAAGTCATACCCTCACTGTGTATATCGCACTCCCTTTCCTCTAAATATTAAACGTGTGCATGCATATAACATAGAAACTATTATAAAATTAATAATTTTTTTATTTTTCTCTGTTCTCAAATTAATAATTTAGTGTTCTCCGACCCAATGATATGTCTCATTTAATTTACAAAAATAAAAAAAATGCATGGTTCATATTCCGCGCATAATTTTTTTAAGAGTAAATTCTATAATTGCTTCTTTATAACATAAAGCTTTCCATATTTAGACCTCTATTATCAAATATTAACATCGTAGTCTTTCTTTTATGTGTACTTTTACATAAATAATCCTTTTGATTATTTATTTAATTTGAGAGCTAAAAGTGTGATATTGATTAGACGATCAATACAATAATAGTGACTATGAGTATGAATGTATTAGAAAGCGACTGCAATTCACAAACAACGAGTCAAGAGCGGCCTCTGGAGTTGGATATGACAAGAAAGATAT